AACATACAAAATGCATCAAAAATAGTTAAACTGATATACAGAGGTAAAAAACTTACACATCATCTGAAATACCCTGAAATATGATTAAATCTGCATCTTCACCAGATATAGTACTCAGAATAAGTTAGCAAAAAGAAGTTTTTGGAATATACTTCTTTTATTTAATCAATTTCCTCTAATGATTTTAAGTGAGATGGCCATTACATAGATGACCTATTAGCCACAGTCTGAACTAATGTTTATTGGTAGATAAACTTCAGTGCATCTGGAAAAGTAATTTATCATGACAAGCACATATTGATTACAATTTTCTGTTTCAAAGAGTAATACACCAATATCTAAGGCTTTCCATTGCAATGATAAGCCCACATCTCTCTTCTAGGACTTTCCCTTAGCTTCTTATAGTATGTATATATTGCTTGCATCATTTCTCCACGTCCTTCCATGAATGTAAACATTATAACAATTTCTGTGTCCTTTAATTCATGAATCAAATAATGTTCAAAATATTTCCTGTCTTAGAGCCATAAGGAACACCAGTTACAGAAAAGTATGGACTGTACAATAGTAAACAACAACACCTAAAATAGTATATAGGACCTGAACTAGATTTGGATCATTCAGTTGTTTATCTTGAAGATCCTGAGCTGTTAACTATGGCATTCATCCGCTATCACTATACTTTTCTGCTAGGTAGGTTAGATATCACGGCCGCAATAGTGGCTTTCACAGAAGCATCATGTTCTAAATAAGGGCATTCAAAGAATGACCTTCTTAACTTACCCCTTAAGCAGCACATTCTGAAATCCATCTAATGTGCGAAGATGACGGTTTTTCAATGCCCTGTTATGTCCTCTTATTGAGTAGCATGAACATCCATTTTATTCTCTAGCTGCTTGAGGTGTGTGATGATTGAATGCATAGGTCATGGAAACAAATTCTTTCACTTTTCCAATTGGAAATCCTTCTTGATTATATTGCATACTGTTGCTTGGGACAGATGGACAACTTTTGTGTTCATGGATTTTCACCTATTACAAGCTGCCACTCTTTGTTTACTATGGCTGGGGCACAACTTATTGCAGGTCTCTTTCTGATGCGCCAAGGTGATCCACATTCCTTTGTTTTCAAATGGCAATAAGTACAAGGGATCTTGGAAATTCTAAATTCCTGATTTGAATACATCTTTATGATATAATTGTATGGATATTTTGCATCAGAAAGGGCTGTTATATACCCTTCCCATATCAATTTGTGACGCTATCATATTATTTACATAATGCCAAATAAAATTAAAAGTAGTTCTAATACATTATTTTCATTTGCAACTTTATATATATATATAGCTTTGGTTATGACGTAATTTGCTGATTTGTATATTGAAAATTGTTTTAATATAATTTACTCAGCCCTGTAGTTGATTCATGACAGAGGCTGAATGGCATAATGCAGCTTGTCAGTAAGCAGGTGCCAAGACTAAAGTTTTCTACAAGTGATCTTCCTATAAAGAATCCGGGTATTTATCTGCTTAAGGGAGCGGAAATTGTCAATACACACCACCGTTTTCACTTACCTAAAGTTAACACCAAAAGTTGGTGTACAATTATTTTTATTCACAATCAGTACTGGTGACAATTACTCCATCCTATAGCATCCAACATATTGGTGACTTGGCACAGGATTTCTTTATGGGGCTTCATTACCGGTATCTATATTATGAAGATTTATGTTTAATTTGACCAGATGGCCATATCTGATCCAACAAATGCATTAGCGTACTCTCTCTAAATCTTTTTGAATTCTTGCTAATATGTATCAAGATTATAAGCACAATTTCCAAACAGTAGCTGTAGATGCTTTAAAACCATTTGTTTGTGCACAATCACTGTGCAATTGAAGCAACAAACACAATACAGATAGTTCTACCAAATTCTCCTCCACAAACCGTGCTGATTACCATTTCAGATAGTAACATTAAATGCGTCTATCCATAATCACTTGGGCCCGGCATGGCCAGGTGGTTAGGCCCGGCATGACCAGGTGGTTAGGACGCGCGACTCGCAATCTGCGGGTCGCGGGTTCACATACCCGTCCCACCAAACATGCTCGCCCTTTCAGCCGTGACGGTCAATCCAAATATTCGTTGGTAAAAGAGTAGCCCAAGAGTTGGCGGTGGGTGGTGATGACTAGCTGCCTTCCCTCTAGTCTTACACTGCTAAATTAGGGACAGCTAGTGCAGATAGCCCTCGTGTAGCTTTGCGCGAAATTCAAAACAAACAAACCATAATCACTCACTAATACTGGAATAAATGATAAATTTGTAGAAATTAATGTATGAGTGATTATGGCTTAGTGTTTTATGCACAGATCCTGTTATTGCATCAGCAGGTGGTAACCATTGTTCCTAGACATATGGTTTGTCAGCATTTCAAATATTTTTAAAGCAGCATGCAGTTCACCTGTTCCACTGGTTATGTTCGTAGACATCATACGCTAAGAAAACATCTGAAACGCCTTTGTTAGAAAACAAGAAATCTGACATGACTATTTTTAGATGTGAAAATAGTGCAATAAGAAATAGAGTTGAACTTATATGCTCACTTTCAACTGATCCCCATTAGCAAGTTGATAGTTACTTACCTTGTTATTCTTGATACTAATAAACTTTGAGCAAAGTCTTGGCAGCTTCATTATCTATGAATAACTCAAACGTACCTTCATGTATTCACCTAAGCATATATGAAATTGTTTCTTGATACATATGCTAAGTGGTACATCCCACCTTTGGATCCAAAATGGACACTGTACCATTTACACTCTAAGATTTGCTAGTTAAATCTGGTTTGAGTAGCAGCTCCGTAGCCTGTCTGAACAGTTGGGTCATAGAAGACCTTTCAATACATGTCTTATTAATATGTAGAACAGGGTAGAATTTCATTTCCAGTGCCGTAACAGAATTATTAGTACAGCAGGATCAGAAATATTTACATTTCCCTGTGTATTTGGTTGGATCAAATAAAACTGAAATTCAATGTATGATGGTACTTGCAGTAGAGAAGCTTTTGGTTTGTTGTGAGCCTTATAAGGTGATGAAGCTTTAGGAAGCCATCCAAAAGTGAGCCTATCACAGCCATTATTGCAAGAAACCTTCTATTTAACTTGTTTGAGGTGGCAACATTATAGTTGCAGATATGATTTTAGACTGGGATATGGTTCAGACGGATATATCATGTCTCTCACAACTGGCAGAAACTCGTTAAACGTACCTACAACGATATCCTTATGATTTGCTGAAGCCATGCCAGGATATGTCTTCCTTTACAGCCAGTGCAAATTATCAAAGATCCGTGGCATCAAGCTTTTAGTTTCACTTGATGATAAGCTTGGTTTTCTATCCTTTAAAATTTCCTCTAAAGCTTGCAAAAAAGGTTATCTAATCTACAAATATGGTCAGAGTCAAAGTTCTCATTAACAGCAAGCACTGGATCATCAGACTCAGCAAGAGTTGCTGCATCATCTGACTCATAGACCAAGCAGTCCATGCAACCACTTGCTGGAACTTCTGGAGAAACCAGTCCAGATTCTCCTTTTCTAAATCTTTGGACAATGGTTGGCTTATCTGTTTTGCCTCATTACCCTATGCCTGAGATATTGGAGGCAGCCATACATCATTAACTAATTAGTTATGCCATATTGGTGGACCTAATGAGAAGAAAGTGCAGTCTATGGCCATGATCCATAAATCTGACGTTTGATTGAAGAGTGGAATGATACTGAACCAAGTGTCTTGCCAATCTATTTTGATAATCACTCAATATTTCAAGTTGGTAGATCATGTTTACTGTTCATGTCCTACTTCATGTTTCAGACACATCTACATAGTGATGATGGCCACATGTCAACAGTTGAATAGTGAAAAAAGACCTAAAAAAGACCCAGCTCTTTATAAAACATTTAATTTAATATTGAAGCTTATATTGTTTGCGTTCTATTAAATCTGAGCATGATGACAAGTTAATTATCGCTGAATTGGCCAAAATGTTTTAAAAGTGATTACTATGATAAATATTATCAATTTTCAAAGCAGAAATTGAGTTTTCAATCTTGAATTGATAGCTTTTTTTTTCTCAGACCATTCCAATAAATAAAATGTTATTTTTAAACATTGCATTCCATCATCTAAGTAGAGTCTAGCGAAATGTGTTTTTGGTGAGCTTACTTACATAGACTCTTCAACGAACTATAAATATTACTCCCTAAGAAAAAAAAGTGTGAAATTACACCTTTAGAGTTGTAGTGTGCTGATACAAAAGCTACACCATAATAAAAAAAAAAAACGTTACTTTTCGAAACGTTTCTTGTTACATGTTAAGGTCAAGCAACGGATTCACCTGGTGATAATATTGGCAAGGATGACCGGGTTTAATATACTACATTTATGGAAGTAAAATGCACTAGTTAAAGACATACATGCAATATTCGTATATGCAGATGCATCTACTTATTTGCACATCTGGCTACTCCAACTGATAATACGGATTTTTTGGGAAAACATTTTATTAACTATCTCGAAGAAAATCCTTTGACACTCTTCTAAATTTATTGATTAGACCCGAGTGTCACGAAAGCTCAAGATCATTTATCAACCTGAACTACCCTTTCAATAATACTGATGTTTTGTCAGAATGTACTTGACATCAATGTAATGCTTTTACCGTCTCGCAGTTATTCAAAAAGATGTATGGTATATTGTATAATATACAACTAAATATTTCCTACATTATTTCTCCTTTAGCGATGACTGCTCAAATTTAATGGTCGCTTAGGTTCTGTACACAATATATTATGCATTTCGACCACCAAGGTCAATCTTATTATCCACCATCCATTATATTATCTTTTGTACTTCTTGTACAGACGTTTCACCAGCCACTGAATTAAAAAAAATCCTTAGTTACATTAAAATTTCGAACAACTAAAAAAACTGTATGTTTACTTACGTGGCAGGCATTGTTGGCAACATCGCTCAAGGCACTAATCCACCTATATGAAAATATAATAATAATAAACATTATAACGCATAAATTAGACCGTCTTGAAGAAGAATGTTAATCTCCATAATCTTGAAGGTATTCAGCTTTCTGTTTTTGGTTTTTCATGTCTTGCAATGTGATTCTTTAGTAACCTAGATAATTCTTAAAGAAAATTATTGAACTATATAACTTTTAAAAATATCCTTTGTAGCTCATTTTCAACTTAATATTATCTTCTCATCAGGTATTGGATAGGATGATTAAATGAAGGTATATACTAACTCTAGATTGATCATATTTATATCACAGGACGAAATAAAAGATCCTTTTCGAAAAAAAGAAGTCAAATTATAAATATTTTTAGGATATATTTATTTCATAAGTAGCTTTATATATTAAGTAGTTGCACAGAGCAACGTCTGACGCTTCAGAAAGTTCACTATTGAATATTAAAATTCTTTTAGCTATCTATAACACTGTATACTTTATATAATGAAAAGGGAGTATGACTAGGTTCGAAAAGCAAAATACTGACATGTCATTAGTTTTCACTAAACATTTTAAAGAAATAGGGCTTTAAGCATCCATTGGTAGCATATAATTTTCTCTACATGTTTACCTGGTCGCAGTCTCTTCGTCGTCAGCAGCAAAGTACAGATGCGGTAGACCATGTCTTGATACTCGGAAGGCGTTAGGAGAGCCTGAACCTGGAACCCTGGTGATGACGTGGTTATGGAGCACAAGAGCCCCTGCCAAGTCTGACGCCTGAAACACAACTACTTTATTTCATATTCTTTTTTTTTTACTTTAAGAAAAAGTTATTAATTTCAGTTGTGCAAATAGTATCCCATTCCTACGATCCGAAAAAGATATTTAATTTTAGGTTTTGGTACAAAATATACCTTTCCTCCTTTTGATAGTTCTTGTTTTGCAAAAAGAAAGTAACTAACCCTAAAAACTGTGGGAAAGGTAAGTTTTGTTTTGTAATTTAACAACTCTTTCCATACCTTAAGGGTCTTGTACCAATACAAACAGTTATCAGTTTTAAGGACAAACCACCGTCTACACCACCGCCTGGTGTCACCACCGATGCTCAGTCTTTGGAGAAATCCTGAGAGTAGAGGGTGCTGGGAAGGTTGTTGCTCAATAGGTGCTAACAGGTGGCATGTACGAGCCAATTCTAAGGATAAGGTCTCACAACCTATAAATCAAAAACTAGTGGTTGATATATATTTGCCTTACTAATGAAAATAAAAATAATTCAAATTAAATATTAACTAAATATAGCATAAAGGAAATGTAAATAAAATAGACATTAGTTTAAAGTTACTGAATGCAATGATGAGAATGTTACAATGTTGAGAGGTTACGAGATATTGTGACGGATTTACTATCATATATCTATTTTAACATCATTGTTTGTTTAAATTAAATTTATATTTAGACATGTACATAACTTATGCTGTTAAATCTGTATTGCAAATTTCCCGCCTATTCAATAAAATTTTAGACAATTTTCGAGTGTAAGAATAAAAAAACATATTTGTGTGTGCATAAACACTGGTGTATCGTTTATAATGTGGCCTGAGCTGAAATTTCGAGAAACTCTCCTCACGCCTATAAATATGATCAACGCGATGCTCCAAAAGACAGTATATATTATTGGTTTGCTATAGTTGGTGTGCTATCTCCAAATTAATACGTAACGTATTATAATTTCTAATAGCCTGAAACTGAGTTAAATGATAATTTATATTTAGAAGTTAAATAAATGTCGATATGTATCCAATTTATGATACTTGCCAACAAGATTGATACACATAGTCTTTTTTAATACAAATATATTTTAATATATAAACAATAACATAATTTACAATAACGGTTATTACAAATAATGATCTATGTACAAAAGTTTTACAAACTTACAAATAATATTTAGTCCTCTATCTGGCTGGAACTTCCTTGATATCTTATCGAGGGTTCACGATGAGCGAATTAATTTTGATTAAATGTATATATAATTCACTTAACAGAGATGCTAGCTAGCTATGTGTTCTTCGATCTTCGCCTGACACACGCCTATTTACCCACCGCTGCAATTATATAGTGTTTTCGTAAAAATACTAATGTCCGATGTGAATCCGCTAAAGTTAAATGGTTTGTAATGTTCAAAATTTATAAATGTTCATCATCAAATATCTGAAGTTCCCGATTAATAAGCGCTATAACAATCACTGTTATAGCTTTCGAAGTCTAATCGTCCGGGGTAAATTGTAATGCGTAACAATGTCGACTAACTTTTTTCTATTGTGTGACGAGACTATAAATTGTAAACTTAGTATTTTAGCAAAAAATTGTTCCCTCTAAGAATTATAAAAATACTAGAACATTATAGCAGTGTTGAATTATGTTTCATTATTTCCAATTAAACAACAACAAAAACCTCTTTGCTGAACTGGGTTACCTGTGTGCGCTGTTTTCACAACATCAGAATGTGAAGCCTCCAAAACTCTAATACCGTTGATGCTGATGATAATGTCACCCACTTCCAAGCCACAGTTATCAGCAGGTGTCCCTAGGACAAACATGAGGTTTAATTTAGTTGTATTCCAGAATAAATTAAATATCTAAAAGTTAACATTCGATTGTTTATAATCTAAACCAGGTAAAGTCTTTCATAATCTAGATTAAGTCAAACTTAGATCATACCAAATTTGAAAACAAAAATTTGGCTATTTTTGTTGTAAAAGGAGTCAAAAGGTAGTTTATTCGGGTGTTATATAATTCTTATTTTTAGGTTTTAGTCATTCCTAACTTAAATTGTCCCATTTTTGTCATCTTAGGTCTAAGAAGTATGAAAGACTTAATAGTCTGATTTCACCTAAATCATTATTTAAATTCTTAGTGATTAAGTACAACGTGATTGTTAATATACCAATTCTTATAAATTTATATGAAAAATCACTTAGATATAATACATACCATAATCTTACACAATCAGTGAAGAGACAAATATATATTTACTTGTATGTACACCAGAACTATTCAGTGTTCTAATATCTTAATATCACGCCTGGAAAAAAAAGTCTTCCATCATATATTTCTTTCTTGTATTTTCAACACTAAACTGACAACATAATTGTATTGTTGGAGGAAGACTGAAGAGAAATATACATCCATCTATCGTCAAAATATTTTTCTTAGTTTTGAATAACGTTGTATATGTTTGCAAATTCAACAGTCTTTTCAGCTTATGGCTTAATGGAACCTCATAACTAATAAGTCACGATCATGTACCCGAATTGTCTTATGTTTTGTTTAGTACAAAACAAATGTAATCTACCTAATTTAGAGCATGTGAACATCATTTATTATCTGGATCAGCTGAATTCATCACTTCAGATTAATATTTTATATATGACAAATACAGAAGTACGAGATTTCATGATAAAAACAACTTCGCAGTTCTGGCGTTTTTTTCAATTTGTTTTCATACAAGCAGAATTTGTTCCAATAAGCGGAGACAGCTGTTTGTCCGATCAACTTTATTATCCATTACTCTACGTATAATCGAATTCTTCAACTCTTTGAATTTTTCATCTTCGTTTGCTATTCTCTCCGAATACTGTAATAGTAATAGTTTTACCTTTTAATCGTTGTAAACATGGATTGTTCAAAACAGTTAAGTTTTACGCAAATTTTAGTGTATTGTGTCTTTGAAGTTTCTTTTCATGCTATTAATTATTATTAACTATGATCCTACAATGGTTCTTCGAGACTGCCAAGTCTGTGTGAAAAACTCAAGAACCTCAAATAGTATTTTGTAAAGAAAAGTAAAAAAGGGAAAACACATAAATAAAAACAAAACGCGCATAATCTCTCACCTAAGAGATAATATTACTGATAATCGAACTTTACAGACTGAAGAAAACTGTTATAGCTTGACGGTACAAGTTCTAGTTAGAGTATGTTACTTAATATCTTTGAAGTTCAAATTACTTAACCATTATTAGAATTATAAACCTGCTAAAACCCGCTCTTTTTGCTTGCATAATAGTTCAATACAATTTGAATTATGCTATTCTAGGGTTTTTATTATTACTAATTTAAATAAAATGTTACCCCATAAGGATCGTTATCACATAAAGATAACAAAATACCAGTTCATATGTAGATAAGATATTAACATTTATTTTATTGTTACGTTACATTTACTCTCTATGTCTTCAAATAATAAATTTAATAAAGCCGTCTAAGTGGCGAAATACTGATAGTTTATGTATAAGAGGTGAGCGATGGTGAGTATATTACTGGATGAAGAGGTAGGTGGCCATTAAAGAATTAATTTTATTTATTACCTTCAGTAGTATATCATCGCTTTTATATTTCATTAGATGCCATAACTGGCTATAAACTGTTTAGCAATTTTAGGCGAAGAATGTTGTTAGTTTGAGCTCCGTATCAAAAGTTATAGCTTCATTTCACATAAGATATAGGTTAAAATTGACGGTGTACCCTCATTGCATATACTTCTGTTGCTAGGATACATTTCACCAACTTTATACAATCTTCACTATTTGTTTTTGACCTAGTTTTTGAAATTAAGATACACATACAAATATATAGAAGAATGTTGTTGTTTTTGATAATTAACCAATGCTTAAGCATCAAATATAATGAAGCATTTTGTTTTGCAGTTATCTCATTGTACATATCTGAAGAGTACTACACATAATGGCCAAGTGGTTAAGGCGTTCGCAATCTGCGGGTACCGGGTTTGAATCCCTGTCCCACCAAACATGCTCTCCCATTCAGCCGTGTGGATGTTATAATGTAACGGTCATTCCCACTTTTCGTTGGTAAAAGAGTAACCTAAGAGTTGGCGGTAGGTGGTGATGACTAGCTGCCTTCCCTCTAGTCTTACACTGCAAAATTAGGGACGGCAAGCGCAGATAGCCCTCGTGTAGCTTTGCGCAAAATTCCAAACAATCTACTCATAATGCTTCAGAGGCTAAAAAGGTATAAAAACATTATTTGCAAGATTTATTTTAGTTTTTTATATTAAATAATAAAGATTCTCATTAGAAGTTAACTGTTTTCTCACGACAAGTAAGAGAACATATTTTAGTACGAAGTAGGTACTGCTTCTCATTCCTATAAATATGTGTTTTCAGGTACCCTCATTCAGCAAAGACGTATATTTAATAGTTAATAATCAGAAACTAGTGACGATTTCTTTGTATACCATATGGAGATCAATTTCATACATAGAATTTTCTGGGAAATTTTTTTTATGTGTTCTTTACTTTATCACTATGAAACATGCTGTTTATCAGAATTTCAATAAAAAAGTGTCATTTTCAACTAAAACAGTTTACTAAATATTTTATTAGAGTAATATTTCTCCAAAATTTCAAAATTTGCAGGTTATTTTGATATCATTTTTATGATTGTCCATGTAATTATTCAAATACGTTTACGGGAATGTTACAGAAACGTTCATTCTCAAATCAATTATAAATATTCGTAGGATTCAAATCGATATTTGATATTACCCCAGATGATAATTTTATATGAATAACGAAAATCAACAAGATTTTACTGATTTCAGTTTTATCTATAATTATCATATTTCATATTTATTTTATTTCGATTTTTCGTGAAACATGTAGAATGTTTTATTATCAAAGAATGAATCATCTTATAACTTGGTCTTAAGATCTATAATACTTTTTGAAGGTTTGATAGTTTATCTGATGTAATTTTGTTTATCAGTACTCGTTTAGTACTTTCTTACAAACGTACTTTAAACTGTCTCTATTGCGTCTTAGTTTTTATTTTATCTTACCATTATTTGTTTGTATACTATTTAAAAATATTCTTATATCTTAGTATGAGTTTTTGGTTAAAGTAAAATTTGTTTTTTACAGTGTTTCAAATATTTTTTACACTTTTATACATTTAGTTTGTTTTCCACTTAAACTTTTTGTTAGGTACTTCTTTTAGATTTTAAAGGAAAGAAAAATAACTTATTTTTTGTATTTCATTTGGTTACTGCACACAAGACAATAATTAGGTAAAATCTAACTATTTGAAACTAATTTTTCTTAACATAGTAATAATGTATGTCGCCCTAAAAGTAAAATAAAACATATTTGCAATCAAAACCTTTAAGAATGATTTTATTACAACCTATTATTTAGAGGAATAAAAAAGTACGTGAAATATGGAAACTGATTGCTATGAAGCTTTCGTTTGTAATTAAGCACAAAGCTACACAATGGGCTATCTGTGTTCTGCCCACCACGGGTATCGAATCCGGATTATAGCGTTACAAGTCCGCAGACATACCGCTGTGCCACTAAGGTGTTGGGATGAAGCATCATAGACGTAAATGTGAATATAAAAATTCCAACAGAAGTGTGATCTGTTAAAAAAAGCATTTATCTCAAAAGTATGACTTGCTGGGTTTTCGTGATTCTCCTGAACTGAACGGGCTCATAACAAATCTAAATAGCTTCACCATATTTGTAAGCCACCAACCGGCCATTATTCCCATAAGTGGTGGGTAAATTTTCAATACAAGCATTTATCCAATGTTATAGGTAACATTATATTTTTTCATATTACAAACATTCAGAATTGCATGGTGAGTGAGAAATAAGGAATTCTTTGATAAATTTTGGTAGGGTTTTAGCAATAGAGAATTTTCATATTTAGCAAATTTTGTTAAAAACTTACACACTTAGTCTGTGGCAGTCGTGAGTAAAACAGTAACATTGTTTATTGCTGAAATGAATGTGAAATGGACGGCTATGCCTACTAGAGAAATATATTTGGTGACATGCAATCTACTTATGAATCACAAACGTACATGTAATAAGGAAACTGACTGATAACAAGCATAACATAAGTAAATGTGAATATAACACTGAAAAATTTGAAGAGAAATGTTACTTGTTAAAAAAAGTATTCATTCCCAGGTCATGACTTGATGGGTTTTCGTGGTTCTCCTGAACTGAACGAATTCATAACAAATGTATATAGACTCATTATATTTGTTTATTGCTTTTTTATTATGATAAATGATGGAATGAAGCTTGTTCACATTAATATTAGAAAAATAATATCCCTGTAGACTATTTATCACCTGGTTTAATTAGCAGACAAAAGGAAATCCATTTACTTTTCATCTACTTATCTTGAGAAAGCCATAACGTTTGTAATACCAATATGAACTTCAGAGTTAATGTAGCGTAAAAAGTAATTTATTGCAGAGAGCTAACTGTAAGGAATGTTTTTAAATAACATATTGATTTAAACTACCGCATTCTACGTTTGCATTGTTATCTGCTTTAGTATCCTAAGTTATGAAAGTCCGGCGCCATGACACATACTACATTCTGTTCTTTTGTATACACTAAGTTTCTTTCTGTATTTATATTTAATGTATGATTAAAAACTTTAATGAACACGTATACAGCATCGTTTAAAAATTCAAAGTGGTTAGCACAGGTTTAAAGAAAAATTTCCACTTTATTCGAACCGTTCTGAAGAATAATGTATGTTTTTAGTGAGAATTTGTTTTATTATAGTTTACATTGAAGCTCGTCAACAAATGTAGCAGAAAATATTTTCTGGCCATGATATTATTTCTTATTTTATTTTTTCTTATAGTTTTATTTTATTAGTTTATAATATATATATACCTTATAATCGATAAGAGTGTATTTTAAAGTAGTATTAACACACAAAAAGTTAGATTCTGCTCTTTCCCAGACCTTTATGATCTATGCACAACGTTGACTCATATTTTTCTTGCGCAGAAGCTTCTGATAAGAAGCATTTATTACCCTTTCCAAGTATTTTGTGTAGTTAAGACTTTTTATGCAAAATTAATAAAAGCTAGTATTGGTTCATCACTAGTTGCTTGAAGAGTTGATGTTATTCAAACAGAGATTACTTCAAAGATTATAATCATCCAATCACTGATTCACATCAAGAGTTCTCAATAATCAATCACTGATAACATCAACATTAACAGTAATCAATCACTGATAACATCAACATTAACAGTAATCAATCACTGATAACATCAACATTAACAGTAATCAATCACTGATAACATATAGAGTTAACATTATCTAATCTCTTAATACTTCTAACATTATCAAATTACTGGTTACTGCACGAGCTGCGTTATCCAGTGACGGACCACATCAAATGCCTACAGTATCCAATCACTGAATAGATTATGGTCTAATATTATCCGACTACTAAATATATTAAGAGTCAATAATTATATTAAGAGTTAGTGTTATCCATTCGTTGATTATATTAAAATATCACATTACTCAATCGCTGATTTCATTAAACAATCACAAACAAAACGCTGATTACGTAACAAATCACATTATCTAATTACTTATTCCATTAAGAGGTTACAATGCTTCTCCTCATCTATATCAAAGAATCTCAAGATATGGTGATAACTCACCTTGTTCAATTGCAGAAACAACAACAGGGCGACTTCCATGGATACGAAACCCAAACTCTCCATTGTCTCTTTGGATAGTTACTTGTTTGTCAACTTCTGTAGATAAATATGAATTGTTAGTATAGACTTAAAAAGGTTGTTTAGATACCCCCATAAACAATACTTTTACACCACAAAAAGAGCTTGTTTGCTAACATTTATATCACATCTATATGGTTAGAAGAAGAATCTACGACAATATGTTTATATAATGCAAAAGATAAAGAAACTTTTACTCGTTTTCTAGCATACACTTCTTTGACTGCCAACATTTATTACGATGTCTATAATGATAAACAGAAAGTAACAATTATTTGTTTGACACCATGTATTACCATTCAGTAGCATTAATAAGGAAACAGAGGAACAGTTACTTGACTATCAGCATTTATTATTGTGTTTGATGTTAAAAGGAAAGAACTGAATTCTTATTCATCGCATTTATTGATGATTAGAGAAAAACAAAACAAATAGTTGGTTGAAAATATTTATTAAAAATTACGAAAGAAAGAATTATTTGTTTGTCTATATTTAGTACAAGCTGAAATACCTGTCAGCTAATGGGGAATATTTAAACTTAATTAAAACAATGTAAGTTTAACAGCAATCATATATTTCAAGGTAATATTTTGATTTTTTTTGAATTTCGCGCAAAGCTACACGAGGGCTATCTGCGCTAGCCGTCCCTAATTTAGCAGTGAGAAGGCAGCTAGTCATCACCAACGGCTGAAAGGGCGAGCATGTTTGGTGGGACGGGGATTCGAACTCGCGACTCTCAGATTGCGAGTCGAGCGCCTTATCCACCTGGCCATGCCGGGCCTTCAAGGTAATAACTTGAACATAAACTTTATCTCAAAATTTTGAAAGTATAAAAAAAGCTTCTTCATAAACAACATTTGCAGATTGCTTTCCGTCTACCAACAAATGAAGATTTTGAGGTGATCCCACCCTTGAACACCCTACATCTCATTGACCGTGAGAAAAGCATGGATTGTTTGAGAAACAATCCAGCAACTTTCATAATTTGATCTTGAATCCCTTTAGAATATTCAACATTGTCTAAAGCGTCAACCTGCTAAAATTGTTTGAGATTGGCTGGGAGTAATTAATCAACAGGGTTAAGTTCAATTTTTACCCACTAGGACATTCCCCATGTTCAAAGTGTTTACATACAAATTTTGGTTAAGATTGACCCAATAGGCTCGGAGGAGTTATGGTGAAAACAAACACACATTTCGTCTTTATATATATAGATTATGTCTATAAACTTAAAAGGAAAGAAACTATATATTTGGACAATTTTTTAATAGTATGTCTATGACGCTAAAACGAAAGAAAGGGTTAACATCTTTGATAAGCATTATGTTAGACTGCAGGTGTTTTATTATTTACATTCAACTTAATTTGTACGTTATAGATTTCAAATCAAAGAGGTGTCTAAAAATAGCTTTTCATATCCATCTTTTGTCTTCATAAACATTATGGCTATTAGTTGCCAATGATTCTCCAGCTTTCTATGTATAAACCGTAGTTAAACGAAAGAGTTATTTGTTTGATAATACTTATTATTATATCTATAACCTTAAAGAAAGAAACAGTTTTTTCAATATTGATTACACTATCTCTATCATGAGGAATTACCTATTTACTAGCATTTTATTACTATATCACTGGAACCGATATTTATTTACTAATTATTGCAATGCTTATAATGTTAAAATTTGTAGAACAATTACTTTTTTGCCAACATTTATCTTTAAGTTTATAATGTAAAAAGGAAAAGAATTGCTAATTGTTTGATAACACCATTAAGCAAGTATCTATCATATTAAAGAACGCTTAAAAATTTTCTTTTCTAACGTATATGAATATTTTTAAGTCTAAGATATATAAGAGAAAAACCTATACCTGTTGGTTGCCATGATAATTCACATGAGGATTGTACATGACAATTCGATGACTCTTTTGAATCGAATTGTGCATTTTTTAACATTTAATTTGCTTATTTACCTAGCCTATTCAACAACCTCTCTAAACTTTGTAAATTCGTGAAATTCGCTGATGTAACAAACTAAGCTGGTTTTTCACATTCTTAAAACACTCCACTGTTCCACGAACGATTCGCGTTTTCCACACTGGAGAATAGATTTTATTGTAAAAGAAACAACTCAAAGCGGGAACAGCTTAATTTACGATAAGTATCTCTAGATCTCTAGATTCTCCTGACTGCATAACGGTTTGTTTGTTTGAAATTAAGCACAAAGCTACACAATG